CAGTGGAAGTAGCTATTGCTGGTAGTAGTAGTAGTCATTATATCATTAGCGGCAGGAGAAATAGCTATTGCTGGTAGTAGTGGTAGTCATTATATCATCAGTGGCAGGGAGTAGCTATTGCTGGTAGTAGTAGTAGTTATTATATCGTTAGCGGCAGGGGAAGTAGCTGCTGGTAGTAGTAGTAGTCATTATATCATTAGCGGCAGGGGAGTAGCTATTGCTGGTAGTGAGTAGTGGTAGTCATTATATCATTAGCGGCAGGGGAAGTAGCTATTGCTGGTAGTAGTAGTAGTTATTATATCATTAGCGGCAGGAGAAATAGCTATTGCTGGTAGTAGTAGTGGTAGTCATTATATCATTAAGCGGCAGGGGAAGTAGCTATTGCTGGTAAGTAGTAGTAGTCATTATATCATTAGCGGCAGGGGAAGTAGCTATTGCTGGTAGTAGTAGTAGTTATTATATCATTAGCGGCAGGGGAAGTAGCTATTGCTGGTAGTAGTAGTAGTCATTATATCATTAGCGGCAGGGGAAGTAGCTATTGCTGGTAGTAGTAGTAGTCATTATATCATTAGCGGCAGGGGAAGTAGCTATTGCTGGTAGTAGTAGTAGTAGTCATTATATCATTAGCGGCAGGGGAAGTAGCTATTGCTGGTAAGTAGTAGTGAGTCATTATATCATTAGCGGCAGGGGAAGTAGCTATTGCTGGTAGTAGTAGTAGTCATTATATCATTAGCGGCAGGGGAAGTAGCTATTGCTGGTAAGTAGTGGTAGTCATTATATCATTAGCGGCAGGGGAAGTAGCTATTGCTGGTAGTAGTAGTAGTTATTATATCATTAGCGGCAGGGAAAGTAGCTATTGCTGGTAGTAGTAGTAGTCATTATATCATAAGCGGCAGGGGAAGTAGCTATTGCTGGTAGTAGTAGTAGTCGTCATTATATCATTAGCGGCAGGGGAAGTAGCTATTGCTGGTAGTAGTAGTAGTCATTATATCATTAGCGGCAGGGGATGTAGCTATTGCTGGTAAGTAGTAGTAGTCATTATATCATTAGCGGCAGGGGAAGTAGCTATTGCTGGTAGTAGTAGTAGTAGTCATTATATCATTAGCGGCAGGGGAAGTAGCTATTGCTGGTAGTAGTAGTAGTCATTATATCATTAGCGGCAGGGGAAGTAGCTATTGCTGGTAAGTAGTAGTAGTCATTATATCATTAGCGGCAGGGGAAGTAGCTATTGCTGGTAGTAGTAGTAGTCATTATATCATTAGCGGCAGGGGAAGTAGCTATTGCTGGTAGTAGTAGTAGTCATTATATCATTAGCGGCAGGGGAAGTAGCTATTGCTGGTAGTAGTAGTAGTCATTATATCATTAGCGGCAGGGGAAGTAGCTATTGCTGGTAAGTAGTAGTGGTTATTATATCATTAGCGGCAGGGGAAGTAGCTATTGCTGGTAGTAGTAGTAGTCATTATATCATTAGCGGCAGGGGAAGTAGCTATTGCTGGTAAGTAGTGTTAGTCATTATATCATTAGCGGCAGGGGAAGTAGCTATTGCTGGTAGTAGTAGTAGTCATTATATCATTAGCGGCAGGGGAAGTAGCTATTGCTGGTAGTAGTAGTAGTCATTATATCATTAGCGGCAGGGGTAGCTATTGCTGGTAAGTAGTAGTAGTCATTATATCATTAGCGGCAGGAGAAATAGCTATTGCTGGTAGTAGTAGTAGTAGTCATTATATCATTAGCGGCAGGGGAAGTAGCTATTGCTGGTAGTAGGTAGTAGTCATTATATCATTAGCGGCAGGGGAAGTAGCTATTGCTGGTAAGTAGTAGTAGTCATTATATCATTAGCGGCAGGGGAAGTAGCTATTGCTGGTAGTAGTAGTAGTCATTATATCATTAGCGGCGGGGGAGTAGCTATTGCTGGTAAGTAGTGGTAGTCATTATATCATTAGCGGCAGGGGAGTAGCTATTGCTGGTAAGTAGTAGTAGTCATTATATCATTAGCGGCAGGGGAAGTAGCTATTGCTGGTAAGTAGTAGTGGTCATTATATCATTAGCGGCAGGGGAAGTAGCTATTGCTGGTAGTAGTAGTAGTCATTATATCATTAGCGGCAGGGGAAGTAGCTATTGCTGGTAGTAGTAGTAGTCATTATATCATTAGCGGCAGGGGAAGTAGCTATTGCTGGTAAAGTAGTAGTAGTCATTATATCGTGGCGGCAGGAGAAATAGCTATTGCTGGTAGTAGTAGTAGTCATTATATCATTAGCGGCAGGGAAGTAGCTATTGCTGGTAAGTAGTAGTGAATCATTATATCATTAGCGGCAGGGGAAGTAGCTATTGCTGGTAAGTAGTAGTAGTCATTATATCATTAGCGGCAGGGGAAGTAGCTATTGCTGGTAAGTAGTAGTAGTCATTATATCATTAGCGGCAGGGGAAGTAGCTATTGCTGGTAGTAGTAGTAGTAGTCATTATATCATTAGCGGCAGGGGAAGCTATTGCTGGTAAGTGAAAGTGTTAGTCATTATATCATTAGCGGCAGAGTAGCTATTGCTGGTAGTAGTAGTAGTAGTCATTATATCATTAGCGGCAGGGGAGTAGCTATTGCTGGTAGTAGTAGTAGTCATTATATCATTAGCGGCGGGGAAGTAGCTATTGCTGGTAGTAGTAGTAGTCATTATATCATTAGCGGCGGGGAGTAGCTATTGCTGGTAGTAGTAGTAGTCATTATATCATTAGCGGCAGAGGAGTAGCTATTGCTGGTAGTAGTAGTAGTGGTCATTATATCATTAGCGGCGGGGAGTAGCTATTGCTGGTAGTAGTAGTAGTCATTATATCATTAGCGGCGGGGAGTAGCTATTGCTGGTAGTAGTAGTGGTAGTCATTATATCATTGGCGGCAGGGGAGTAGCTATTGCTGGTAAGTAGTAGTAGTCATTATATCATTAGCGGCAGGGGAAGTAGCTATTGCTGGTAAGTAGTAGTAGTTATTATATCATTAGCGGCAGGGGAAGTAGCTATTGCTGGTAAAGTAGTAGTGAGTCATTATATCATTAGCGGCAGGGGAAGTAGCTATTGCTGGTAAAGTAGTAGTAGTCATTATATCATTAGCGGCAGGGGAAGTAGCTATTGCTGGTAGTAGTAGTAGTTATTATATCATTAGCGGCAGGGGAAGTAGCTATTGCTGGTAAGTAGTAGTAGTCATTATATCATTAGCGGCAGGGGAAGTAGCTATTGCTGGTAAGTAGTAGTAGTCATTATATCATTAGCGGCAGGGGAAGTAGCTATTGCTGGTAGTAGTAGTAGTAGTCATTATATCATTAGCGGCAGGGAAGTAGCTATTGCTGGTAGTGTAGTAGTAGTCATTATATCATTAGCGGCGGGGGAGTAGCTATTGCTGGTAAGTAGTAGTAGTCATTATATCATTAGCGGCAGGGAAGTAGCTATTGCTGGTAAGTAGTAGTAGTCATTATATCATTAGCGGCAGGGGAGTAGCTATTGCTGGTAGTAGTAGTAGTCATTATATCATTAGCGGCAGGGAAGTAGCTATTGCTGGTAAAGTAGTAGTAGTCATTATATCATTAGCGGCAGGGGAAGTAGCTATTGCTGGTAGTAGTAGTAGTCATTATATCATTAGCGGCAGAGTAGGGGAAGTAGCTATTGCTGGTAAGTAGTAGTGATCATTATATCGTGGTAGTAGTATTAGGTCATTATATCATATTTAGCGGCAGGGGAGTAGCTATTGCTGGTGAAGTAGTAGTAGTCATTATATCATTAGCGGCAGGGGAAGTAGCTATTGCTGGTAGTAGTAGTGGTCATTATATCATTAGCGGCAGGGGAAGTAGCTATTGCTGGTAAGTAGTAGTAGTCATTATATCATTAGCGGCAGGGGAAGTAGCTATTGCTGGTAGTAGTAGTAGTAGTCATTATATCATTAGCGGCAGGGGAAGTAGCTATTGCTGGTAAGTAGTAGTGGTCATTATATCATTAGCGGCAGGGGAAGTAGCTATTGCTGGTAAGTAGTAGTGGTCATTATATCATTAGCGGCAGGCTATTGCTGGTAGTAGCTATTGCTGGTAGTAGTAGTAGTAGTCATTATATCATTAGCGGCAGGGGAAGTAGCTATTGCTGGTGGTAGTAGTGGATCATTATATCATTGCGGCGGTGAGTAGCTATTGCTGGTAAGTAGTAGTCGTCAGTATATCATCGTGGCAGAAAGTAAGTAATGACAGATTAGTAGTGGTAGTAGTAGTAGTCAGTAGTAGTAGTAGTAGTAGTAGTAGTGTAGTAGTAGTAGTAGTAGTAGGAGACTTACAACTAATCTCTGAAATGAACATATTTTACAGAAAAAAGCTCAAAGTGAAAAAAAAAAAATATAATGAAAGGGCCCTGAGAGACGTTCTTCATTTTCAGAAATCTAGGTTATATTTGGGATTTCTTGGATATGTTTACTTCAGGGGTCAGACTGTATAGTAGTAGTAGTAGTAGTAGTAGTAGTAGTAGTAGTAGTAGTAGTAGTAGTAGTAGTAGTAGTAGTAGTGAGTAGTAGTTTAGTGAGTGGGTATGGCTTTACGTCGACACCAGAAATGGGCTTCAAACATTGTGCCCATGTGCACATGCGTGTGGAATCGAACCCGGGTCTTCGGTGTGACGAGCGAACGCTTTAACCACTAGCTTACCCCACCAGCCCTATTAGTAGTTAGTAGTAGTAGTAGTAGTAGTAGTAGTAGTAGTAGTAGTAGTAGTAGTAGAAGTAGTAGTAAGCAGCAATAATCTTAAACCCGATGTTAATTCCCATTTCACCTCATCTTGTAATCACTCGTGAAGATCAATGCTCATGCTTTTGATCCTTGGGTTTTCTGGTATTTTCTGAGATTCGATTATCTACAGACCGCCGCCAAAAAGCTGGAATACTGCTGAGCGCGGCGTTAACAACAACCATCCAACCAATCATCTTGTAATCGCCCAAATATATATGATCAACCCTCTTTCCTTGCAACATATGAAACTTACTGATGTCAAGCTTTTGTTCGCATACAACAGGTTGTACTCGTGCCGGATCTGTTTGCATCCATCCAGAGGTAGCTGCAAGAGTGGCAAATCCGGGTCCCTCTGTGTCATGGCTGCTGAAGGCGAGTGTGTTCGCGAGGATATTCCACGATGGAGTGAACCATGACCACTCAGTTGTCGACGTCCTTTTCAAGCCCAGCCACACCTCCGTGCTCAGGAAACGTGCTATAGCAAGGGAAAGACATGTTTAAAACAGCATTGGAAACATCACACAGACACGGTTGTTGACGTCATTTGAGAATCACTTGTGACGTAATATCTTATGACGTCATTCATGACCATCAGTGATTGTCAGCTTTATGTTGAACAAAGACGCAAAAACTAAAATTAATGGTTGGTATCGTTGAGTGTGACTATCGATATTGCGAAATTCAGAAACATTAAGAAGATGAAACAAACAAAAACATGTTGTTGAGCATCGACCTAAGAATTCAGGATATGATGACTTGTGTCAACCAAGTCAGCGAGCCCGACCACGCAAAATTTTCTCGACTTTTATGACAATCGTGGGTTGATGAAGACCAAGTCTAACCCGGATATTCAAGGGTGCAAGTGTATGCATTCCCCACGAGTTACATTCATAGAAATTTCATTTCATTTCTTCGGTTTCCTATGGGTGTTTTTTCACGTTGCAGTCGATGCTATGCGTGTCTATGGCAACAGCATCTGGACCAGGATGGCTAAGTAGCCTACTGGTTAAAGCGTTCGTGCGTCACGCCGAAGACCCGGGTTCGATTCCCCACATAGGTACAATGTGTGAAGCTCATATATGGTGTCCTCCGCCGTGATGTTGCTGGAATTTTGCTAAAGTGGCCCAAAAACAGAATTCAGTATCTAGACCAGACAAACAAGTTGTTAATATCAGAAGCAATGACTCATTTTGCCCGGTACGATCAAAACAGACCCTTACAACATTTGAGGCGGTGGGGTAGCCTAGTGGTTAAACGTTCGCTCGTCACGGCGATGAACCGGGTTCGATTCCCAACATGGGTGGAATGTGTGAAGCTCATGTCTTGTGTCCCCCGCCGTGATATACGCTGCTGTAAAACTAAACTCACTCACTCACTCACCTAACAACATTTATGTATAATTACTGTCCCAAACCCAACGGGTACACGAGGCTGTATATGGATTATCTTGATCACTGGATCCAAAACACCGACCTTGAAGTTCTGCACGCAGCCAGAGCTCCTCGAGTATATTGTCAATATGAGGTAGATGTGTCTCTTCATCGTCACAGGCTGTTGTGGCGGAATCCAACGTCATCTGGTTGTTAAGGACGTAGTAGCAGCGTCTGCCGTCAAAGTCGAGGATTGCAGTCGAGATGCCGTGGTGACGGGTACATAGAGACTGTACAACGAAGGCTGGAGAAATGATGGGGCATTGTCAGGAGAAAACACCGCCCATGTTGTTCTCACGGAACACTTTCAAATAGTGAAAAGCAAATTATAGTACGTAGAATATATCATTTAACTTCTTTAAATATCTAGTAGGTGTGTGACATAGCCACATCTATTGTTATTGATGTTTATTTTGTGACCCCAAACTCCACGCTGTGTGAAATTCATGTCAATGTATCCAAGGGAATAAGGCCTGTAAGTCTCGCGAGGTGCTACATCCGGCATTTAGCTGGTTTCCGGCCCCCCTTGCGCGCGCCAGCTTGCGTTATGCGAGACGGGGCCCAGCTTACCTCCGGTACCAGACGCATGTTCAGAACCGCGAGTGCCCGCGAACGCTAGCGAGCGCTCAATCCTGAACGCCTGTGCCCGTTCGAGCTGCCGCGCGCGCACGCGAACCATCCTCCCGTTCGAGCTGCCTCGCCAAGCTAACCAAGATGGCGACCATGTTTAACGTCATTTGTCACCGCTCGCCCCTTTCCGTAACCTCCAACAAGAAGACAAAAGCTATTCGGCTTGTCCCATAATAACACGAGTTGGTCACGAATGGTTTCATGTAACCATGCGCTCGCGTCCGTTCTCAACCGGACCAAGTGTAAAACCATGCTTGGTTGTCACAGCTGTTGACAGTCGTAATATTGGCTAATTTGGAGATGGTTAGATCGGAAATGGGTTATTCCTGCAAGGATTATCGGTTCCTTACTGTCAATTGACAACCATGAGACCATTCGAAAAGGTATGAAACGTTGTTTGTCACCGGAAGTACTAAGGTCATCCGGTACCATGACATAAATCAAATGACATCCGTTGTATCTTACACCCAATGCACGTCAATTAGTGTTTACAAAATGAAAATTTGTGGTAGCTGCGGTGGCTGAGGGGGTAAGATGGCTGATTTATGTGCGGGCGATTAGGTGCCTGACTCTGCGAGTGTGGGTTCGAATCCCAAACCAGTTCTGGTTCAAAATGTTGCAAAGCGAGATACAGTTTTCCCCACAAGGTTACCTCACCTAGGTTACTAGGCTGTTTTATGTGCGGGAGATTAGGTGCCAGACTCTGACAGTGTGGGTTCGAATCCCAAACCAGTTCTGGTTCAAAATGTTGCAAAGCGAGATACAGTTTTCCCCACAAGGTTACCTCACCTAGGTTACTAGGCTGTTTTATGTGCGGGAGATTAGGTGCCAGACTCTGACAGTGTGGGTTCGAATCCCAATCCAGTTCTGGTTCAAAATGTTGAAACGTGAGATACAGTTTTTTCCCAAATTTCTCGTTATTATATATTAACGCGCCATTTATTGTTATCATACTTCAAAGTCATCAACGATTTGAAAGAAATATAGTCAAGCAAATCTGGTAGGTTAATACGAATACGGCAATGATCATTCTTGCTTTGTTTTGCTATCGTCAGATCATTTTCCTTTAACAAGTCATTGCTGTATCGAAACGTCACAGAAAAAGAAGATTTAATGCATACAGTTTGTCACTATTGTTTCTAAAATATCACTCAAAGAAGTTATTGGGTCGTACTACGGTTTAAAGTGAGATTTTACGCCGCTTTGAAAATCTGTTGTTTCGTGGCGTGTCAGGGTGAGGAGAGGAGAAACACTGAACTCAAGTTCTTTTGCAGAGGCTATGAAAAACTCAATGTCATATAGGAAGTGGTCAAATGTAACATGTATGTTGGATTACCACCGTTGTGGCTGAATTGAATAGACGGCTGACTTTGTGTGTGTTTTCAGTTAGGTGCCTGAATCTGAGGAATGGGTTCGAATCCCAATACAAGTACCGTACTCTGTACTCTTCTAGAAAGTGTAATCTCAAATATAACGTATGTTACAATAAAGGGTAGGTATAAACATTCTTAGCATCATGATTAGATCACACATCCTACCTTCAGACAGTTCCTCTTCACACAATGTCTGGCTCTGGTGCGTGCTATCAATCTGGACCAACTCTGCTCCGTCCTGCAGGGCGTAAGCCAAATCCATCTCCGGACACAATGTAATTTCACAGAAGTCAGTTACTACTGGAGAATTCACGGGTATGGGAGCTTTACTACTGATCCAGTTCCAGGACCCGTCTGCTTCTCTTTTCAAGCCCAACCAGAAGTTGCTGCTGCCGTTGCCCACTATTTCAAGAAACGACAAAAGTGTGTAATGAGAGTGTGTTTTTTGTAATTTGTATTATCATTGATTAGGTGATAGTTATTATGGGTCACAATGTTTGGAGTTTTGAGTGTGGGCTTTGGTTCGCATCTCACATCATATATGTTCATTGACAATAGTATTTGTAGCGGCACGCCTTTTTGATAGCGCTTCAGAGTTGCCTCCCTTTGGCTGACATTATTTTGTTTTGACTTCTGAGTTTTGTCACGTCGTTTGTTCGAGTAAATTCCGCATCGTTCTGAGAGAATAATGATGAAGCCTGGCTTTGCCAGAATGCTCGAGAATTGTGTAAAAGCTATATAAAGGCTGGTCGTTGACTTGTGACACGCACACGGACTTATCACTGGAGTTATACACTTGTGTCTGCCATCGTTGAGGTTGATCAACATCGTCAAGACTGACCGTGCTTTCCTATATTCAACTGTTGTCATTGTAAACAACCTTCAATCAATATATCTGCTCTCACTGTGAATGCCAAGACTCTGGTGAGTTAATATTTTGTATTTGTGACCCAATAGTTTAGATTTGTGACTCAATTGCACTGTACTAGAAATCTCTACTGTCATTCATTGTAGCTAACTCTTTGTTTGTTCAATATATTAACGAGTATTTTAGACTTGTCTGTGTTCTATTTTGCTGGTTCAAAGGGGACTCTTAAACCTTTTGCCACGGCAAACTATTAACCGTAACAAGTGTTTCTGATGTGTTGTTAGAGGTAGGTTTGGTCAATTTTATAAGAACTATGGGTTTTGTTTGGTTGTTGTTTAACGACGCACTCTATGATATTCCAGATATATGGCGGTCATCTGTAAAAGCTTTAGTCCGGACAAGACAATTCAGTGATCAACATCTTCCACATCGGTCTATGCAATGACATGTGTCAGCCAGATACCATAACATGCGTCAACCTGGTCACCACCAGATTTTCAAGGGTTACAAGCTGGGGAGTATACCTTATTGTTTTCTTTCACAGTACACAAATAATAAATAACTGGTGTGTCATTGTTTCTTTCACATTACATTTCATCAATAAACAATTAACATGCCATTGTTTCTTTCGCATTACATTTCACCAATAAACAATTAGCGTGGCATGTTTCTTACACATTACATTTCATCAATAAACAATTAGCATGCCATTACTTCTTTCATATTACTTTTCATCAATAAACAATTAACATGCCATTGTTTCTTTCGCATTACATTTCACGAATAAACAATTAGCGTGGCATGTTTCTTACACATTACATTTCATCAATAAACAATTAGCATGCCATTGTTTCTTTCACACTGCTTTTCATCAATAAACAATTAACATACCATTGTTGCTTTCGCATTACATTTCATCAATAAACAATTACTATGCCATTGTTTCTTTCACATTACATTTCATCAATAAACAATTAGCATGCCATTGTTTCTTTCACACTGCTTTTCATCAATAAACAATTAACATACCGTTGTTGCTTTCGCATTACATTTCATCAATAAACAATTACTATGCCATTGTTTCTTTCACATTACATTTCATCAATAAACAATTAGCATGCCATTGTTTCTTTCACATTACTTTTCAAGAAAATCTGAATATCTTCAAACATGTCAAATCTTTGAAGTGCATTTAGAAGTGGAATGCATAAGAAAAGCAAGATTTATGGATGTCAACTTCTTTATTGTGAATAACACGACGTTTGAGAGTGTATCCCACTCCTTCGTCAGGTTTCGCATGATCTGATGAAGGAGTAAGCATACTCTCCGAAACGTCGTGTTATTCACAATATAGAAGTTGACATCCATAAATCTTGCTTTTCTTCAAACATGTCCATCACTACATCAGTCAAACTAAACGATTTCTCTATTCTTCCTAATCTGTTATATTCTCAAACTCAAGATCTCTCATGTATATGTTCTCTGTATAATTCTTGTAAATATTGGGAGAGGGCGTCATTAAGTTGGATAACTTGTGCCCAATCCTTTTCCTCAATGAATAAAAAATGTTTAAATAAAAAATTACTTTTCATCAATAAACAATTAATATGCCATTGTTTCTTTCGCATTACATTTCACCTATAAACAATCATTGTGGAATTTTTTGTTTCACATTTCGTTTAATCAATAAACAATTAGCGTGGCACTGTCTCATTTACACTACATTTGTTTGATAAACAACTAGCATGTCATTGTTTCTTTCACATTACTTTCACCAATAAACAATTAGCGTGTCATTGTTTCTTTCACATTCCATTTGATCAACAAATACTTTGCGTGGCATTGCTTCTTTTATATTACATTTCATCAATAAACAATTAGCATGCCATTGTTTCTTTGGCATTACTTTTCATCAATAAACTATTAGCGTAGCATTCTTTCTTTCACATTACTTTCCATTAATAAACAATTAGCGTTGCATTCTTTCATTTACATTACATTTCATCAATAAACAATAACCGTGTCATTGTTTCTTTCATATTACATTTCATAAATAAACAATTAGCTGGAATATTGCTGATTGCGGTGTGAAACTAAACTCACTCATAATAATGTGTGACATTGTGCCCCGAGGTTCTAATTGGTGCTCATGATATCAACCACCGGTTTCTAGGATATTCACATGTCAGATTTAGAATACACTACCTTGAAGCTTATCGAAGAGGAGTTCAAGTTCCTGATGAGTGTCAGCATGCATGAGGTGTGTTCCTGACGTCTCACATCGGGATCTGGCAGAGGTGAAGGTCTCCACGCCTTCAAAGGGGTAGTAGCAGCTTCTCGTAGTGGGCCTGTACACCGGGACTGGTCCCCCGATGAAGCTTTTACAGAGGAACGGGCCAAGTCTGTCTGAGAAATACAAGTCAAAACGTGTGATAAGAATCATTCCTCCATTACCTGCTGTTTTCCAGTGTGGCCTAATGTGGTGGAGAATAGCATCCCTTATCTGTGCAAGGATCAGCTTCTCTTTGGTCGAATAAAAGCCGTGATAACGAACCCTTTTTTGTAACCTGCTGTTTGTAATCACTGGAACACATCAGGAAACTTCTTGGACGCACGTCTAATGTAGTCAATTACGTCCAACGTCGACAACGGCATTGATCCTGACAAACCCATCCAATTCCCAGTCGTCACATTTAGCCAGCATGCATTACTGAGGATATTTATATCCGGAATACCCAAAAAGCTTAGACATGTATCCTTATATTACTGATTTATGTTCAAAGTGACGTCAAACCAAATTCCTTTAAACACCTTCCTGTGATTTTACGACAGTTAGCGTATTAACATTCACAGACATAAACTTGTAGACTCAAAAACATCATCTCGCGCAGAAATCTAGGTCAATACATTTAACTGAATGACGAGAGATGATTTCTGTGCCATTTGTTTCAACTTTTGGTATGCATTGATAGAGCGTCAGACTCTCAGAGACTTAATGAAGCACCTGTTGTTACCCTCGCGGATGACTCAACATTGTGAGTGCGTGCGTGCGTGCGTCCGTGCGTGCGTGCGTCCGTGTGTGCGTGCATGCGTGCGTGTGTGTGTGTGATCCTTATCAAACTGCGATATGCTATCCCAGTGAACTATCACTATGATTCTGGCATATGCAACCACATACGCAATCGCATACGCACACACGAATTAATGTCAATGCACAAAGAGGTATAATCATGACAATGATGTAACCTCATAAAAACGCTTCACTTCCTATTCTGTAGCCTCGATATTATATTATTATACAAACAGTTGATTTCACAATCTCACAACCATTGCCATGCGTACAGTGTCCGAAGCCAAACTTCATGATGCTCCTGGAATATGGCTAAAGGAGTCTTAAACCTCATTCACTGTGGGGAAACGCCCAGACAAGGAGCTGACGATTACCTATACTAGAACGTACCTTCAAAAGCGTCAATCTCACAAAACAGTTGATGGTGGGATGTCGAAAGTGCCCGGATGAAAGTACCGTTTGGGCTGAAAACAGCATTCTGGCCTACAGTTGAACTGTACCCAAGCCAGGGGTATTCGTCCATTGTGACAGGCTCGGACAGGTGCTTGTCAACCCAGTACCATTGGTCAGGGAAGTACTCATCTTCTTCCATTCCCAACCATAAAGTTGTTCCGAACGATCTCGCTGGACCAAAAAAAAATCTCAAGATTTAGGAGACTGTTATTCTGTAGGCGCATGTCAATGAATGAATGAATGAATGAATGAATGAATAAAAGAAACCTTGAACACTAATATGATACCAACATTCATTGACAGCATTGTATCTGATTGCCGTTATAAGCCACGGGAAGCAATATGTCAGTTAAATTACGACAAATTAAGAAATTGAAGAAAAAGAAACGCCATCCGATCTTTATGATTCGGCCTTGACGACAAATGCGAAACTATTTGCACCTATTCTACCCAAGAACCGCCATTCGATCTTTAGTCTACTGGAAAAGGTAAATCAAACCAAAGGAAACCTTTCACAAGAGCGACTGAGTATGTTAATTAATGTCGGTTTGAACTGTGCTTCGATTACATCAAGACGTCACGGCGGAATGTCCTTGTGACCAGAAGAGGTTTCTGGGAACGTCATTAAACGCAGAATCCCAACAGACTTTGAACATTAAGATTCCATTCATTAACAGAAGCCACAGTCGCTTTACTCATGACTACCTGCTCAAACCGGATGGAGATGGACATCCTAGGTTTATCCTAAATTTTCACCATCAAGGATATTCTACTTGAATGTGTGGACTTTTCAACTGGGAGGGACTCACATTATGAAGAAATATATCTGAAATCTGTTTTCACGCGTGAGTGGGTATATCATTGTGAACTATACTAGGCACATAAAGAAACTGTGCATACAAAAAGTTAAATTCTAAATTTATCAAACCTGTGTAGACACATAAGGATTTAAACTCAGAGATTAGTGACATGTTTCCAACATGCATGCACGTGCCACGTTCCGTGATGTCAGTGGTTGCGTCCTTGAGACGTGCAATACGTTGTTGCACGTGCATTCCGGGAAAGAGAAACAGAGCAAATGAATGCCACACAATACTGTTACTTTGGAAAGCTCAACCCCTGCTCTTGCGATCGTTCAAAAAATTAAACGGCTATTGAAACGCATAGCATGCCAAGGCTCACGTCTGCACAACGTCATGAGGCCATTGGGATGGTCCGTGGGGGAATGTGGCCACGACAAGTGGCTGCACATTTCCACTGCCACCGGATCACCATTTCTGCACTGGTGAGACGCTAGCAGAACACAAATGACGTCATCGATCGGCCACGTTCTGGACGTCCACGTGTAACAACGCCAAGACAGGACAGATGGATAAGGGTGACCCATCTTCGCCACAGGTTTCAGACTGCAGTGATGACTGCCCGGACCATCCCAGGACTTCGCCGTATCCACCTCAACACAGTTCGACAACGTTTACGTCATCACGGGATCAGACCACGACGTCCCGTCATACGGCCTATCCTGACACAACGTCATCGACAAGCTCGCCGAATGTGGTGCCGAAATCATGTCCGCAGACCCTTGTTTTGGTGGAGAAATGCTGTTTTTACAGATGAGTCCAGGTTTAACATTTCCCATAGTGATGGCCGTCAACGTGCCTATAGACGCGTGGGAGAACGTTATGCACAGGCCTGTGTCTTGGAGAGGAATCGCTTTGGTGGTGTTTCCGTGATGATTTGGGGTGGAATAACAGCACGCCAAAGAACTCCTTTGGTGATTGTTTAGGGCAACTTAACTGGTGTGGGCTACAGGGATCAGATTCTTCGACCTGTGGCAATTCCTTTTCTGCAACGTCATGGCCCTGGGTTAACATTCCAACAGGACAATGCCCGCCCTCATACCGCAAGGGTTGCTATGGATTTCTTGCAACACCACAACGTTGACTTACTGCCTTGGCCTGCAAATTCACCGGATCTCTTCCCGGTAGAACATGTTTGGGACGAGATGGATCGACGTCTACGCGGTCTTCCTCCTCCGCCAGATAACGTCCTTGACCTTGCAACAGAACTTGAGAGAATCTGGCGTGACATCACACAAGCCTTCCTTGCACGTTTGATAGGCTCTATGCGTCGTCGATGCACTGCTGTTCTCAATGCCGATGGTGGACATACCCGTTATTGAGCTTGTGACATGGTCGTTTGACCCCTGTCCCGCTTGTGGACTCGTGACGTCATTGTGATTGACTTTTCAGTTGAAATTCTCCCGATTTGTTATGGTCTCATGATCCCTCCATTACAGTTTATATGTACCTTTGACATTGTTATCGTACTTATCAACTGGGATAATATTTTGACAATGCACAGTTTCTTTATGTGCCTAGTGTACTTGAGAGAGATTTATCTGTATCATAAATTGTAACTGTGTAATATGTGAGACTAATTGCTTGTTTTCAAATTCGGTGCTATGGCATACTCTCTCTGTGGATAATAGTGCAATAAAGGAGCATGTATTTTAAGAAGGCCATTTAAACTTTGCAATTAAAATGTGTATCTGTGTAGACTTAGTCCCGCTGCTATAAGAGTGAAACAGTGCCAAAACTTGAAAACTGAACTCACTCTATAATAAATTGTAATTTTATATGTGTTACAAATTTGCTGATTTTTAAACTTCGGTGTTATGGCTTTTCTATTTGCAAATATACTGTAATGAAAAAAATGTGCATTTTAAGAAACTACTTTGAACTCGTAACTATGTGTGCAGACTTGGTCTCGTCGCTAAATGGTTGAACAACATGGTTGAAACAATGTCGTTGCGACGTAAAACTTCAACTCATTAATTCATTCATACATATTCATTAATACACGTTACCGCTCATCTCGTTAACAAAGGTGGTGATCTCTGCTTGAGTCTCAAGGTGAAGGACGTGTCGTCCCCTAAGATGGCATAAGTCACGGCCCCTTGTGTAGTTGAACATGTGGCTGTAAAGGTAGTAGCACTGCATCAGAGTCGGGTGGTACAGCACCAGGGTAGCTAACGAGTCGTCCGCGCATCCGACGGAGTAGAGGTCTAAGTGATAGAATGAGAGAGTCAGTGGGTATATATTTGTCGTAGTCAATGGGTACCCGATAGGATCAGGTGACAGCACTATCATTATCATCGTCAACATCACCAGTAGTAGTAGCAGTAGTAGGAGGAGGAGGAGGCGTAGTAGTAGTAGTAGTGATGTTGTTGCAGGAGTTGCATAATTAGTAGTAGTTATATCAGGGTAAACTGCATATCAGGGTCTACTGCTACTGTAATCCATAGTAAGTCTTTACTGTAGATTCTCGTATGATGACCAGAAGCTTTGCTAGAAAAAGATATTGAATTTTTTGCATCAACCACCTCGAATATTTTCCTACCGAGAGGTGTCGGGTCTTCGCAGACGAAGCTGTAGTTTTCGTTGACGTTGGCCCTGGTCCAGGTGGCGTTGACTGAGGTGGTAGCGCCTTCCAACGTCGCACTCACCGGGCTTTCCGGCTCCCATCTGACGCCGACCAGAGGGTAGAAGTCCTCTTTATACTTCCAGGCCCATTTTGTAGGGGTACTTTGCTTCAGGCCAAGCCATATTTTAGATATATTTTCAGCTGTGATATATAAACACAACCATACAGTCACCGCTGAGACTACGCTCATGCAAAAGTTTAAATATATATGTCAGTTAAATTTAATATTTCAGCCATATCTTTACCACAAAATGTAAATATACAGTAATTGCAAATATATTTTGATTACACGAAATCCTAACAACAAAGGACAAAAATAAGGATTATCTCAGATTTTGTTTTAAACTAGTTCCTAGCCATAAGAGAAATATCACTCTAGTTACAAGACATGATAAAATGGATGTCATGCCAATGAAGATAGATCTCAACAATGGCCCGTAAGTAGGTTACGGCATTTCGCGACACCGGCGACAAACAACGTACACTTGGTCCGGTCTAGTAATGTGAGATTTGGCGGTTGCGCAATTTGGAACCAGACCTGGTTCTTAAATATACACTTGTCACCGGAAATCTGATACCGGAAGTAAGCTGGACCCCATCTCTCATATCCCCAAGTTGGAGAGTGCAAAGGATGTCGGGAACCAGCTTAATACCGGAAGTATCCTCTCGCGAGACTTACATGCCCAAAGAACCAAGGTGACCAAGTACCTTTGCTGTCTGCATAGACCTAACTGGATTTACATCATCGCAGGCGATTTTGTACAAACCATGCAGTAATAGCTATATACTTAGTTAAAAAGAAACGCAAACCATGTAAATCTGTGATACGCTGGTGAACATAGAGATTGGCGTTTGCTGATGACCACATGCAAAGAAAATGAAGCGAGTCTTTAAAACGATCACACAAATCATCTATATTCATATCCAGGCGTGTTTCGTGATAGCGTCAATGAGACGTTAGATTGTGTCATTGGTTAACGTCATATTGGAAATGACATTTAAGTATCAAGTATGCAGTCACTCCTTTGCCGGTATCATCAGAACAGAAAACCGACGTTACCGGCTACCTGAGCATCGAACATACGCCACTTACCTTATGTCTTCATGTAATTTCAAACATTTGTTCTATTTGCGTTTCTTTCGGATTTCAGCATACTTTGCACGTCATGTTTCATTACACACATGCACAGTCTCTGCGGTGTATATTTTTTTATTTGCTTCAAAACGTTTTTGAAAGATCGTAGTGGGCCTATCACTTAATTTTTTTCTCACTTTGTAAAATTAACGCAATGTAATGTATTACCTATTCTCTACATGCAAGTTTCACATTGACGTCATGATGAATGTCGAGCGCCAAAGACGTGTCTTAAGAATAAATAATCAAAGCTTGCGAGTATGCAAAAAAAGACCTTGAAAACTCCCGCCTTTTAGTGGAAGAAAGACTATTATTCAAAGCCCGACAATGCGACAAGTGGCCGAAATGTCTTCTTGTAGCATTGACGCGCTGTTATATTTGACAATTTTTGGTGTTTTTTGGCGACAATATCCCTTTAGGATTAGATACATACCAGTAACAATACCTATACTTGTTTGTTTGTGTTTTTGTTGTTTACCTCAGCAATATTCCCGTCATTTATACCGGCGCTTTTACGGGCGCTTCAGAAATCACCAATACCACGCTACGCAACCCGGAAGTGTCTGAATATTACTGGCACGAGTCTGCATATGTTGGCGATCTGTAATTATCGAGTCCGGACTAGTCTGGACTAGTCTGCACAGTCCAGTGATCAACAGCATGAGCATTGATCTACACAATTGGGACACGTGTCAACAAAGTCAGCAAGCCTGACCACCCAATCCCGTTAGTCGCTTCTTACAAGTATGGTTTGCTAAAGACCGATTCTAACCGGCATCTTCAGGGTTCTAAATTGTATGAACTTGACAGATATAATTGTGATAGGTTAGTATAGCTGGTTTATGCAAAATATATATTCAAGGCCACTAAAACTGCAATAATGAATTTAAACCAGAAATATATAAACCAGAACGCTGGTGGAAGTATAGAGATGTGGGAGAGGAAATCTCTGGACCAATATTTTCGTTACAGAACGCGACTATCGATCAGACAAAATCCCGAGGAGACAAAAAAGATCACCTCTTTGTCTGTTGTTAGCGTAGCAGCCCCAGGCTCGCGACATCAACAACCACCAACTCCCACTCCACTTGGGAGTATGTGGTCGTACCTTTCAAAATGTCCATTATCTGCAAGTGAGGGACGACCTTCGGGAAGAAGACGAGGTTGGTGTGGGCGTCCTCACACACGGCGAAGGCGTCAGAGTTGTTCCGTGGGGTGGCGTACACGTAGTAACAGGCGTTGCTGTACAGAATCCCGAAGTCAGACGATGGGTGCTTCTTACACAGGGGGTGATGTGTACCTTGAACTGTAATGACGCCATCATCACCATCATCATCATCATCACCACTCATGAACATTATCATCACCATCATCATCATCACTCTGATCTTTATTAACGTCGTCATCATCATCATCATCATCATCATCATCACCACTCTGAACATTATCATCATCATCATCATTGTCGTCGTCATTATCGCCATCGCCGTTATCGTTGTCGTCGTAGGCGTCACCATCATTATCATAATCATAATCATGTATAATACCGACTGCAGCATTATTTCTGTTGTCAGCAGGTAAAAAAAACCTGAATCTGAATGTCTTGACATACATGTGTATACCACTGGTATACTAGTAATATAACGGGAACTCCATCTCTAAACAGCTAAATCTTCACATTTGATGCGAATAATAAATATTCAGTTTACGAGTCATTCATATTTTTTAAGACATATATTTCGAAGCACACAAGAAGTAGACACAGAGGTAGAACCACGACGAGTAACGTTTAATATACTTCACTCTACTGTAAATACTAAGGTTGAATAGTAAAATACATTGTGATGAGGAACAGAATGGTAATATGCATTTTCTTCGTTCTGTCAACTCAAACATCCAGCAACAATTCCAAACAGTGCTAGCGTAACGCTTCTGGAATTATAGAAATATGGGAGACAACAACCCCGAACCAATATTTTCTTAAGAACGCGACTGTCGATAAAAATAAAACCTGTGGAGACCAAAAATGCGCCTCCCTTGTGTGAACAGATCCTTATGCGGAATATATTCCTCAACAAACATTGCCAAACACTTGCATTAATCTCAGTTGAAAACTCCATGTGAAGCACAAATATTACTTCGAAACCAAGAATTGTACAAATTCATCGTTCAAGCTTATTTCCAAAACGGGTGAATTTGATTTTCATTGAACTACCAAACTTTAAATTAACGTATCTTGAAAAACGGATCCTCTCTGAAGAGCAACGATAATACAGAAACTTACCCTGATGAAGTTGAGTTATGAGCGTTGTAAGTAAAACGATAAGTGAGAGTTTAGCCATTATCTTATAGAAGATACACAATTCGTCAGTGAACTAGACCACCAGAGATGTCCAGGTTAAATGCACGGCAAAGCACTGAAACCAAGCTATGTCAGGGGGCTATACCAATGAAAACACCATAAAGCACCAACGCAATTAACAGGTGATAATGCATTTGTTGTAAACGCAGCGGAACATTGGTTAAAGCGTGATAGCCTTGACTAAACATAGCCATTGACGATAAGCATTAAATGATCCTCAATAACCAGAACACTGACGTTATTTGCTTTGTTAAATTGCTTCTTTTTGTAGTGATTTCAATTGCAGTTTCACGACCTTACGCAGTGGGTAATTCCATTCGATTCATGTGGCAGAGGAGTTAATGAACTCGGTGCTAAACACAAATAACTGACCACGAACAAAGGCTGAAACTGTATTGTAAAAGCTTAAATACGTCCATTTAATGCAACTTACATGTAGTTTTATGACTTGATGTATGCATTCTTCATAACAATGCTCCCATTAGCAAATGTTAATGTGTATAGACAATACACACGTTAAGTCACTTTTGATTATAAGTGCTTGTTTCTTTAAACAATATCGATTAACATTATCATGAGTAAATCCACCTGGTAATTTTGTGTGGGTTGATAATCATTTTACATTGCAAGTAATGGCCATATAGTCGATTTTTTCTTTGAAATTTTGGGCTTTGGGGGGGCAGATTTCTTTTGTTTTTTTTCCAAAACAGTTATGCATTCTGGACATTCTGTTAAGATAAAACACGGCTGTTAAATGGTGTGTTTAATTGATGAAGAAGACATTAATAGCGACATCACACTTAAGAGGATACGTGATTGTTTCAAACACAACAACAGAAATCTGCCATTTTCTAGTACAATATTCCAAAGAAAGATTCGACTATATTTCCATAGTGTCAGTACAAACTTTTGCAAAAAAAAAATGTTTTAGGGTGACTGACAATGAAAAATGACAAGAAATAATTATTCGATCGTGATTTAAGTGGCACGGGTATTATATATACATGTACACCCGGAAAAGGTATTGCAACACCCATTTGTTTATGAGCAATGGCATTTTACTGCATAGTATGGAAACACAATGCTGCCAATTGATGCTCATGGTAATGTATTGTGAAAGGAGTGTGTATTTCAATGGGAGCTTCAATGATTCAATTACTGTTACAAATACTGGTGTAAATTGAGGTAAAACGTACACTCGAAAAATATGGGGTTAGTAAGACGGTACATGGGTTCACACACGTGTAATGCATATTTCATCCTAGGACACGAAAGAAATTTACCACAACAGGTGATAATGTCATTATCGAGTGTATCCTACCCCCGCCAGGATGACCGATTGAAGATACTCTTCCACAGAGTGCATCAGACACTGTATCTGTCTTCGAGGTAGTCTATTCCACTTCTGGTGGAGAGCAAGCTCCAAGTCTGTAAGATTCTTTACTGGTGGAACCCTTCGTGCTTGCCGTGGTAACGTTGGGATTGCTCCCTGGCGTCAGTAATCCGTCTCTACCCGACTTCTGTGGGCCCTAGCGTTGTCATCCATGTACACTGGAATTGTGAGAATAGGGTGATTGTCTATTGACTATTGACTATTTTATTACTCAAAAAACCGCCATCGGTGGTACAAGAGCATATATTAACAACAATTCATGTACAATTCATATGCATGCGTCTTAGATAGACAACTGAATAAATAAATATTTCCTTATACATATATACAGTTCCCTATGCATAAATAAGTGCATATATTATCAGGTAGATAAATACAAACGCTTATTAAAGATTGGCTAGCTTTTTTTGCAACAGCATGAACAAATTTGACAAAAATTTGACAAAAATTTCTCATATCTAGTTGTAGTCGGCGAAAGAACGAAGACTAATTTAGATATGTTGTTAAGACATTTTCTGGTGGATATAAATTGTTCACGATATGAATTTAGTGCTGGACATTTAAGAATATAGTGTAATTCATCACCGATTACATTTAAGTTACAAAGTGTACAATATCTTTCATCTTTCCATCACAACAACCCCCTCCAAGATTTCCCTCTGATATCTTTGGCCAGTAAGATTACCCCTCACAGAGACAAGCTGAAGCTTACAGTCGTAAGACAGACAACCCCACACCATAATCGACCCGCCACCAAATGGAACCTGCTCCAGAATGTTCCTCTGTGCATTTGCCGTGTTTCTACGACGCAATACACTCGCTCTGCCATTGACCATGTACAGAAGAAAACGACTTTCATCAGACCAGTGACCCTTTGTAGCTAAACGTGCGGTTTTGTGTTCATCTGTTTACAGGGATCGTCTTATAGGTCTTCTAGCACGATGTCTCGCAGCTTTCAGTCGGTTTCTGATTGCCGATAGGGTAACTAGTCCCGTTTCAACACCGTACTTCTTGCAAATGGATTACGGCGTTCATTTCCCATCAGAACTGCGTCTTCTCTTGCAGATGTGCACCGGGGTCTACCTGAGCGTTGCCTGTCCCTTACATCTGCTGATTGCTGGTGCTTTCGCTATTTTCCAGGTGTATAGGTATATGTTTGCATGAAATATTTGAAGGGCCTATACTGGGATGCATGAGAAAAGCAAGATTTATTGATGCCAACTTCTTTCTTTTGAATAGCACGACCTTTCGGAGTGTATGTTTGCTCCTTCATCACATGATCCAGGTACTAGTGGAGATTATCGAGGATGTGACAGGACACATTCTAAATAAACGTGACGTCTGTCAGTCAATGTTAGGAGTGGCTTTTTCTTTCGTAAAGGGCAGTTACTCTGGAGAACGGATTAATGGACTGCCGAAAAAGATACGTAGAAATAATCCGTAAAGGCAATTGTTATTTTGTTTTGTAATCAGGTGGTGTGGCAAGTCAAACATACACCCATAAATTCAATTATGAATAAGTGCGTCTACTTGTTGGTCTATACGTTATTTCCTGTCCTTATTCTTAACATGTCCTACTCATAGTAACCTAGGAATTCTGAATATACCAAAAATGTACTTAAGTAAACCACCAGAGATTAATTTCTCTTCTTTTCATGACCTTCAGAAATGATACCGATATTTTCCCCCTGTTACTATGTTTAATGCATTCAAAATTTTTAAGAAATAACGTATTGAAAAATATTGTATCTCCATATTAATGTAATATTGCACGTAATGTCAAATTGTGTCACTTACTCTATATTTTCTTTACTCTGTATGTGGGTCGGAGGCCTAAAATGCAATAAACTTTTTTCTTCTTCTGCTTCTTCTTCTTCCTTTCGTCTTAACTAAAGTAGTCAATGAAGTGATGAAGAGAATGTGATTTATTTTTCCAAAATGGATTAAAAAAACTCTGGACTAGATTTTCTGTGCTAAATTTTCCAGCCCCTCATGTCAAACATTTTTATATTGTCCTCGTTCCAAACCTTTTTATTCCCTATATGTTAAACGTGCAGAGATTTTCGACGTTATAGATTCACAAAATGCACTCTTTCTGAACCCAGCGGTACAATGCTAGACTGACGCGTAGTCTCTGAATATATATAATTGTGATAGAAAGAAACAATTCCTGTTAAATTAAAATGGAGCCCTATTGAGATGTGAGATTCTTTAACCTGAGGAAATCTAGACTTGCTTCATTTAGAGCTTGAACATTGCCAAAAGAGGATAGGCAGACAGTAAATTATTGCGGTTTAGGGACTGGGAGGCAGATTGTACCATGCTCGCAGACTCCCGTTGTTAGTGTTGCTGCAATCCCTGACCCTGCGGAAAGAGAGAATTCAACAGATGTGCTATCATTAACTGATCTCGCTCAGTTTTAAAGTACCCATTGTGTCTCTCTATACGGGATGCCATTGCAGAGAACTTGTATGTGTGTGTACATGTGGGTGTGTGTACATGTGTGTATACATATATCTGTGTATAGGTATCTATATTTGTCTATGTATATGTATATATGTGTCTATATATATGTGTGTATATATGTGTATGTATGTATATGTGTGTATATGTATGTTTGTCTAGTATGTATATGTGTCCTTGTATGTGTGTATATGCATGTGTGTCTGTGTATGCGTGTATATATGTGTATGTGTGTCTATGTATCTATGTGTGTCTATATGTGTGTATATGTATACGTGTGTCTATGTGTGGCCGTATGTATGTGTGTGTATGTATATGAGTGTGTATGTATATGTCTGTCTATGTCTATGTGTGTTTATGTATGTCTGTGTCTATGTATGATGGTTTATGTGTGTGTATATGTATCTATTACCCTGTTCGCATGCACCTGATTTACATATGTGAGTATATTTACATATATGCAAACCTACACATATGTGTAGATGTAAATTTACTGTGCGTTCGCATGACAGACAAGCAAGGTACGTAAATAGGGTATGTAAAAATTATTTTCAGTCAAGTATTCAGGTAGTCACCATGGTGGGACGATATGATTAGATCAGGCGACGACAAAGATTGGTATGACAATTTTAGAACGACTAATGATGGATTTGAGTTGGTTCATACCAAAGTGGAAGAGTATCCCAAAAGAAATCCTTTAGATACAAGAAAACGGTTGCCATTGATTTGTAACTGGCTTGCCTCAACCGCAGAATACAGAATAGTTGCAATTTGGAGTTGGTAAACCAACGGTCATTGATTGTATTAATGTTTGTTAAGTTCTTGTTCGTGGTTTTCCTTAAACATGAAGATATCCGAGACGTCATTCAAGGTTTCAAGAAAAAGTGGAATTTTCCAAACTGTACGGGAGCAAAAGGTGGCTGCCACATTGCCATAATGGGTCCTCAAGAGTCCCACGGGGACTAACTGAATAGAAAAGGGTGGCACTCACTGATACTTCAAGGAATATGTGCTCACAAGTATGTGTTCAGAGGCATTAACATTGGTTGGCCTGGTTGTGTCCTCGACGCAAGAATTTTTTCAAAGTTTGAGATCTTTTGTCGAGGTGAAGAATCTTCCTAATTTTGCTCACCAACAGTGGTCCCTTCCAGGTTAACCTCGAATTTTTCATCCTAAGATCATGGCTTCTCAAACCTTATTCTCACAGAGATATGCTTTCAGATGAACAAAAAGTTACCAATTACAGACTTGTAAGTCGTGCAAGAATGCAGTTTACTGCAGTATCATTACCGCATGTGCATGTGGAATACATAACCAGTGATGATGAGTGGGATGAGCACCAGGACGAGGAGGAACCTGGGGATCCCAAGGACGATGCTACACCCTGTCGATCAGGTCACCAGGTCCATCAAGATCTCATGCAGGCATTTGCAGCGAACATGATATAGTTTCATCTGTTACAAGAACCTTAAATTGTCTTCCAGTAGAAATGTGACTATAAAAATAACGAATGAAGAAGAGACACACATGGGGGTCTATCCCCATCCGTTTTCAGCTTGTTCACAAACACAATGTTTGTACAGAAATTGTGTTGCTAGTTGTTTTTTGACAAATAAAAGTGAACACAGCTATCAGCTACACATGAGCGTTAATCAAGCACAACCACATTTTAAGCGAACATGTGATCCAATGCTTTTGAGATTTTGTGTGAAGCACGTGCTTTTCCATTCCAGTGATAGGGTTTAATGGTCCGTTTAGACCAAAATTATAAAAATCGGATGTCAGTCTCAAATAATTCTTTCCATTCATTTTCTTATATTCAACTTAAGTCACTCTGTAAGTTAGCAACTTGTCTGCTGACTTATTATCTAACGGATATAACCCATAAAGTGTAATCGCTGAATTGACGTTACAAGGTTAACAATCACTTTACAGTTACTTATCAACATAAGTCTAGGTATGGTACTATTGATTATCAGATACTGCTGTCATATGTTTCTGGTGTTAGGAGTTGAAACAGAATATATTAACTCCTGAGTTTAATAACGCGTTAGAGTCATGGCTCGACAATATCGTCATGATGACAGCGCTGACAATAAGACAGTATGTTACCAATTTATTTTACAAAATGGGTTATATAACAAAAGTCCTCATCTTTCAGATTGGAATGATACCTTGTGAGTCTGACTTCTGATGTTTAAACATCAAAATATATATTGTTTTGTTAAAAAGAAGAAATAACTTGGAATACACACCCGTGTATGTGTAAATATACATTTACATTACCTCCAGACCACATGCAAATATGCTCTCCTTGTGTAAAGATACCCATGTGTTTAGATGCGTTCGCATGACACGTTTACAAACGTGTGTATGTTTTACATGGCTTTTAAATTAGCTCACGTGTGTAAACTGGTGCATGTATGTATGTTTTATGTGTGTCTATGTATATAATTTCATAAATAAAGAAGTGAGCATAATGTATCTTCTCGGGATGGGAAGATGCCGAAATTAAGTCATAACAAAACCAGAGAGTGAGCAATCTACCGTTGTTGACGAAACTTTCGGATGTATTTATAACTGATCATTATTGCACTTACACAGCACATTCCTTTGGATACGCAATGACAATTCCTAAACAAAATAGTATGCCGAATGCTACACCATCATGTGTGTAGCAAAAACGTTTTTAGTGCAGCCCTATAAAAAACGTTAATAGTGCAGCCAGCCCTTCAAATTGTAGGCGCTCAGCCATAGGTATCACTTCGCCATGTGTTTCTAATGATCTCAGTACATTATGGCGTGGTTGGACGCGCTAACGAACCTGATGTGTCAGTTAAATTACGAAACCATTAAAATACTTGTGAAATTATTCTGTCATTAGATACCCAATACCAAATATTCACGAATGAATGAATGAATGCATGTCCTTATTTCCTCCACATTTCAATCCGAAGATCATTTACATATATACATCAAATATTTACAACAACATATTCACAAGGCGGATGTACACATGTACAGAGCAATGACAAGGAAGGATCTACAATACACACTTGAGTGAGGATACCATGGAATACAGGTATTTACAAAATAGGATAATCATACATCGCCATGACATTTCATCTATGTGTTCGGTAACAGGTATTTCACCTCCAGAAAAGAGACAGCATTTCATCTTCTGCCAGTAATTCTATTTGTACAGACACATTGACATGAAAAAAGATCTAAAAGTTAAAATACTTGTGAAATTATTCTTATCATTAGATGCCCTTTACCAAATATTTACGCATGTATGCAATATATGACAAACCCATACCCTGGTCATACGAGATTTCAATGGTATTCACACCATTTACATGTGTTACACATGCTAGAAAACATGAAAACAATGGCCAGATTCACACACCTTTGAAACACATGTAAATGCAGAGTTGAGTGTTCGTTTTTTTCAACACCTCTGTAAACGTGTGTAAATCTGACAGTAGATTTTAAACGTTGTTAATATGGCCGCCGGATGAACCGTACATTGGCTAAGGTAAGTACATTGAGGAAATATTGTTCCTACATGTGATGATGGAGAGCGGAAGGTAAGTGGATAGATTACCAAACGCATTAGTTTCACCTCTTTTGTCTCTTCTCTGTATTTCAGTGTCTATCGACATCGGCGTTTAAATGATTCGAACTATTTTCAAAAGTTATTAAAATGTATAGTTTACAAATATGGACGTTACATTTGATCTTTCAGTCGTAAGAATATCATTGTAACGTACCACTTTATTTTGAAAATATAACTAAACAAAAATAGCTCCATCAACACAAGCACAACAGGGGCAGTGGGGTATCCTAGTGGTTAAGGCGTTCGCTCGTAACGATGAAGACCCGGGTTCGATTCCCCACATGGGTACAATATGTGAAGCCCATTACTGGTGTCCCCGTCGTGATGTTGCTGGAATATTGCTGAAAGCGGCTTAAAACCAAACTCACTCACTCACTCAAACATAACAACAGTGTTCTATATCGGGATGCAAACTACAAAATGTACCAAACAGGCACAATTGAAATTTCTGAACAAAATTCAAGGTTACATCAAAATCGGTTATTAATCATGAAAACTACCCAGAAAACCACCCACAGATTCTTTTCCAGATTTCTTTAAAGAAATTGGCCAATTTCTCCCAGAATGATTTTGGCAGGTGTTGAATGTCCTCCCCAAGTTTCATGATAAATCTTTCAGCATCTTTCTGAGTTCCGTGACTGCTGTATCGATAATCATCCATAACGGTACTTTCATATTTGTCCACATTTGTGTCACACAACAGCGACACAGCGGTTCCTGAATGTGAGACAACACTGCAGACAAAATCCACCAAGTCACAAAAACCACCACAGGAATCGAGATCTGTGGTACATTCCTTAACAGCCGTGTAGGCCCCGCAGCCAACTTCCCTAATAGCAGTTAAAACAGCACGTTTCTGTCTGGAGTGCTCTGCGTCTGAAAACACAAATATGATACATAATACAATGAATCTGAGATCGATTGCATGACGTTTTGATCTGATATTTTGGTTGGTTTGCTGTTTAACGCCGCACTCAGCAATATTTCAGCTATGTGGCAGATGTCTCTAAATAATCGAGTCTGGACGAGACAATCCAGTGATCAACAGAATGAGCACCGATCAACGCAATTGCAACATGATGACATGTGTCCACCAAGTCAGCGAACCTGACCACCCGACACCATTAGTCGCCTCTTACGTCAAGCATGGGTTACTGAACACTAATTCTCTTCATGGGTCCTTCCTTCTCTGTATGTAACATGTACTATTGAGTGGGTGAGTGAGTGAGGGAGTGTGGGAGTGAGTGAGTGAGTGGATGTGAGTGAGTGGGTGAGTGGGTCGGTGGGTGGGTGGGTGAGTGAGTGAGTGGTGGAGTGAGTGAGTGAGTGAGTGGGTGGATGGTGGAGTGAGTGAGTGAGTGAGTGAGTGGGTGGTGAGTGGAGTGAGTGAGTGAGAGTGGGTCGGTGGGTGGGTGAGTGAGGTGAGTGAGTGGGTGAGTGTGAGTGAGTGGGTGGGTGGGTGAGTGAGTGAGTGGAGTGAGTGAGTGAGTGAGTGAGTGGTGAGTGAGTGGAGGGAGTGGGTGAGGGAGAGGGAGGAGGGAGGGAGGGAGGGAGGGAGTGGCTCGGTGGGTGAGTGAGTGAGTGAGTGGAGTGAGTGAGTGAGTGAGTGGGTGGGTGAGTGAGTGAGTGAGTGAGTGAGTGAGTGAGGGAAGGAGGGAGGGAGGGAGGGAGGGGTGGGTGAGTGGGTCGGTGGGTGAGTGAGTGAGTGAGTGAGTGAGTGAGTGAGTTAGTGAAGTGAGTGAGTGGGTGAGTGAGGGACGGAGGGAGTTGATGAGTGAGTGAGTGAGTAAGTGAGTGGTGAGTGAGATTTGAGTGAGTGAGTGACTGGGCTGGTGGGAGAGCTTGAGTGAGTTTTGAGTGGGTGAGTGAGTGCAATACATGTATTGTGAAAGAGGCGTAAGTGTACGTACGTCCTTGCCTGTCGTCAGCGTCATTTGCGAGAGGCACTCCGACTGAGGCAGGTGTCAGCACGCCCACCAGCACCAGATAAAACAGCACAGGTCTCATGTTCTTTATCTGCTAAAACATTAAATATATTATCTTTAAATCGTAAATTATATTGCATTGTTATTCCATTTGAACGTTAAGTTTCATACTTAGGGACACAGCACGATACTCACATGGTGCTGTGTACTACCAGAGAGTCAAGCCAAACACGTTAATTCATCAGGTTTACAATAGCTCAGCAAACAGGTCAGTCTCATAATGACAATAACGACGCTCCCATACCTCCAAACACCATTCCTTGTGATAATGATAACACTCCTATACCTTCAACCACCGCTCCTTGTGATAATGATAACACTCCCATACCTCCAAACACCATTCCATGTGATAATGATAACCACCACTCCTTGTGATAATGATAACACACCCACACATCCAACCACCGCTCCTTGTGATAATGATAACTATCCAATACTTCCAACCACCTCTCCTTGTGATAATGATAACACTCCCATACCTCCAAATACCGCTCCTTGTGATAATGATAACACTCCCATACCTCCAACCGCCACTCCTTGTGATAATGATAACATTTCATACCCAACAACCACCACTCCTTGTTGATAATGATATCACTCCCACCACCATCTCCAACCACCAATCCCACCACTCCTTGTGATAATGATAACACTCCCATACCTCCACATACCAATCCCTGTGATAATGACAACACGTCCATAATTACAACAACCGCTCCTTGTGATAATGAAAACACTCTGATATTTTCAACCGCCACTCTTTGTGATAATGATAACACTCCCATACCTCCAACCACCGCTCTTTGTAATAAAGATAACACTCTCATACCTCCACTACCACTACCTATGATAATGATAACACTCCCATACCTCCAACTACCACTACCTATGATAATGATAACACTCCCATACCTCCAACTACCACTACCTGTGATAATGATAACACTACCATACCTCCAACTACCACTACCTGTGATAATGATAACACTACCATACCTCCAACTACCACTACCTATGATAATGATAACACTCCCATACCTCCAACTACCACTACCTATGATAATGATAACACTACTACCATACCTCCAACTACCACTACCTGTGATAATGATAACACTACCATACCTCCAACTACCACTACCTGTGATAATGATAACACTACCATACCTCCAACTACCACTACCTATGATAATGATAACACTCCCATACCTCCAACTACCACTACCTGTGATAATGATAACACTACCATACCTCCAACTACCACTACCTGTGATAATGATAACACTACCATACCTCCAACTACCACTACCTATGATAATGATAACACTACCATACCTCCAACTACCACTACCTATGATAATGATAACACTACCCATACCTCCAACTACCACTACCTATGATAATGATAACACTACCATACCTCCAACTACCACTACCTATGATAATGATAACACTACCATACCTCCAACTACCACTACCTATGATAATGATAACACTACCATACCTCCAACTACCACTACCACTGTGATAATGATAACACTACCATACCTCCAACTACCACTACCTATGATAATGATAACACTACCATACCTCCAACTACCACTACCTATGATAATGATAACACTACCATACCTCCAACTACCACTACCTATGATAATGATAACACTACCATACCTCCAACTACCACTACCTATGATAATGATAACACTACCATACCTCCAACTACCACTACCTGTGATAATGATAACACTACCATACCTCCACTACCACTACCTATGATAATGATAACACTACCATACCTCCAACTACCACTACCTATGATAATGATAACACTACCATACCTCCAACTACCACTACCTGTGATAATGATAACACTGCCATACCTCAACTACCCACTACCATACCTCCAACTACTACTACCTGTGATAATGATAACACTCCCATACCTCCAACTACCACTACCTCTGATAATGATAACACTACCATACCTCCAACTACCACTATCTATGATAATGATAACACTACCATACCTCCAACTACTACTACCTGTGATAATGATAACACTACCATACCTCCAACTACCACTACCTGTGATAATGATAACACTACCATACCTCCAACTACCACTACCTGTGATAATGATAACACTACCATACCTCCAACTACCACTACCTATGATAATGATAACACTCCCATACCTCCAACTACTACTACTACCTATGATAATGATAACACTACCATACCTCCACTACCACTACCTGTGATAATGATAACACTACCATACCTCCAACTACCACTACCTGTGATAATGATAACACTACCATACCTCCAACTACCACTACCTGTGATAATGATAACACTACCATACCTCCAACTACCACTACCTGATAATGATAACATACCATACCTCCCACTACCACTACCTCTGATAATGATAACACTACCATACCTCCAACTACTACTACCTACCTGTGATAATGATAACACTACCACACCTCCAACTACCACTACCTCTGATAATGATAACACTACCATACACTACCATACCTCCAACTACCACTACCTCTGATAATGATAACACTTCCATACCTCCAACTACCACTACCTGTGATAATGATAACACTACCATACCTCCAACTACCACTACCTATGATAATGATAACACTACCATACCTCCAACTACCACTACCTATGATAATGATAACACTACCATACCTCCAACTACCACTACCTGTGATAATGATAACACTACCATACCTCCACTACCACTACCTATGATAATGATAACACTACCATACCTCCAACTACCACTACCTCTGATAATGATAACACTACCATACCTCCAACTACCACTACTACCACTATGATAATGATAACACTACCATACCTACCAACTACCACTACCTATGATAATGATAACACTACCATACCTCCAACTACCACTACCTCTGATAATGATAACACTACCATACCTCCAACTACCACTACCTGTGATAATGATAACACTACCATAAACTACTACCATACCTCCAACTACCACTACCTAGATGATAACTAATGATAACACTACCATACTCCAACTACCACTACCTGTGATAATGATAACACTACCATACCTCCAACTACCACTACCTGTGATAATGATAACACTCCCATACCTCCAACTACTACTGTGACCTGTGATAATGATAACTACCTACCTAACACCTACCTCTACCTATAATGACCACTACCATACCTCCAACTACCACTACCTCTGATAATGATAACACTACCATACCATGCCTCCAACTACCACTACCTGTGATAATGATAACACTACCATACCTCCAACTACCACTACCTGTGATAATGATAACACTCCCATACCTCCAACTACCACTACCTATGATAATGATAACACTCCCATACCTCCAACTACCACTACCTATGATAATGATAACACTACCATACCGTCAACCACCACTACCTAGGAGTGGATGAGATGAGTTTAGTTTTACGCCACACTCATGATATTGATGATATTCCAGCTATATGGCGGCGGTCTGTAATAATAATCAAGTCTGGATCAGACAATCCAGCAGGATCATCGATCTGCGCACTGGGAACCGGACATGTGTCAACCGATGATATGTGTCAACCAAGTCAGCCAGCCTCCACCACCCCGATACCGATTAGTAACACTCTAACGACAACTACATAGTCGCCAAGTACCTTACCACTACCGATGGTTGCTGAAGACCAATTCTACCTCCATCTTCACTACGGGCCCCACTACCTATGATAATGATAACACTCCCATACCTCCAACTACCACTACCAATGATAATGATAACACTACCATACCTCCAACTACCACTACCTGTGATAATGATAACACTACCATACCTCCAACTGCCACTACCAATGATAATGATAACACTCCCATACCTCCAACTACCACTACCTGTGATAATGATAACACTACCACTACCTCCAACTACCACTACCATGTGATAATGATAACACTACCACACCTCCAACTGCCACTACCAATGATAATGATAACACTCCCATACCTCCAACTACCACTACCAATGATAATGATAACACTTCCATACCTCCAAGTACCACTACCTGTGATGATGATAACACTACCACACCTCCAACTGCCACTACCAATGATAATGATAACTCTCCCCTACCTCTAGCTCCAACGACATCCCCACCGCCACTTTCACATTTACCTACGTTTCTATTTTAGGACATGATGTAACACCGCTTTCAGCAACATTTAAATGCCGCAAGTGACAAAGAGACGCCCAGTTCTATACAAGTTTACTGTTTCCATATCGACACAATTAATACACTGTATGGCAACACTGTGTCTATATTTAGTTCCAACTCAAGGACAGCCCTGAAACGAATCACGTGGATCCCTCTAAATATATAGCTTGGTCATAAGGAGCAGAATATTAAGCGAATAAGCAAAGGAGAGTCTCTACAGAGAAGTCTCTGTCTCGAATAGTTACCACAATGATTCTTAACACATGTCAGTGTTGAATTACCCTCTTCCTTACTATCAAAACGTTTTCTGGTAGACTAGACTTCCTGCTAGTCTCTGATATGAACATATTTTACAGATAAAATGGTTTCAAAATTATGCGCATAATATATAGTGCCTAGAGACTTTCTCAATTTCCAGAAACTGTGGTAATCTGGACTTGCCACATATTCTATATTTACATGGGCTGCAATGGTTATATTTGTTTCAAGGTCTGTATGACAGACTACGCAATTGGGATACGATGATATGTGTCAACCAAGTCAGCGAGTCTCTTAGGACAATGCATGGGCTAACCCGCATTTTCACGGGTCCTTTGCTGTATGTACTATTTACCATATTCACAGTAACCGCCACAGATATTCTTTGAACATATGGTTAAACAACTCACAGACTTTGTGCACTGATGCATGACTCGTGGTGCATGTCAAACGTATCAAGTACACTGTTCAAGATTTGTGGGGTGGCTATGCATTGACCGCGCGATGTAGTCTAAACTGTCAATTCCGCGAAATTTGCACCAAGCGAAAAAAAACAGAGAAAGTACGTTTACGGTAATACCGACTAAAGGGTCAAACGTATCAAGTACACTGTTCAAGATTTGTGGGGTGACCATGGAGTCGGTACTACAGGGTCAAACGTATCAAGTATACTGTTCAAGATTTGTTGGGTGACCATGGAGACGGTACTACAGGGTCAAACGTATCAAGTACACTGTTCAAGATTTGTGGGGTGACCATGGAGACGGTACTACAGGGTCAAACGTATCAAGTACACTGTTCAAGATTTGTGGGGTGACCATGGAGACGGTACTACAGGGTCACAGGGTCCATACGGTATCAAACGTATCAAGTACACTGTTCAAGATTTGTGTGTGGAGTCGGTACTATTCTCCGTATCATGTAATATTCCAGAAACCTATGTTGGACCAGGAGAGGTGACAAAAAACATCAGGCAATTCAATGATTTACTTGCTTACACGACCCACACCGACTGCATGGTTCGACTGGTTCAATCACTGGATTGTCTAGTCCAGACGTATTAATAATTTAATATACAGACCGCCTTCTTATAGCTGGAATATTGATTAAAATGCGTTTAGCAAACGACAAATACCTTATAACCACACAGTTTATACCTTATGTTATAATAAATTGAACGTCATATTCAGTTATTGCTACTGAAATACATACCTGACTTTACCGCGACCAAACTGATGCAGATTGAAAACCGAAAGTGGTTTGTATTTGAGGGCGCTTTGCAGTTTTGTGTGGCGTAGCTAAAAATAGAACATGGGCCAGTCCGACATGACATCAGGAATTGCCTTTCACAACAGTTGCTTGGTAACGTGTGCAAGACTGCCAAAGTGCATTTGTGTATACACGTATGAGAAAGAGAGAAGAGGAGTTTGAGGGTAGGGATATGGTGTGTATGGGGGTGGGGGAGACTGAGAGACCGAGTGAGGAGTGAGAGAGACGAACTGTCTGAATATGTATGCATCTACACATACGCGAATGTTAAATAACATTGAAGGATGTATTTTTCTGTCTTGCATTCATGGAAGTATGGTTGTGAAAATAGCACCTGGATAAAACCGGTAAAATTTCAAGATCGTATATGGCAGATCGTATCCTATGTTGGCAGAGAGCAGATAACAATTTTGGGGCACATTTTACAATTGAGTACAAATTGCAACAAATGTGTAGTGTTTGCATTCTTGAAGCAGTGTGTAAACTTGCAAGTATTTGTGCGTGTGTACGTGTGCAAGTCCCTTTTGGTGTACCTGCGTGTGTATCATGGTACCCATCACCATGTGTATCATAGTTCCCATCACCACGTGTATCATGGTACCCATCACCATGTGTATCATAGTTCCCATCACCACGTGTCTATCATAGTACCCATCACCATGTATGTATCCTAGTACCCATCACCATGTATGTATCCTAGTACCCATCACCATGTATGTATCATAGTACCCATCACCATGTATGTATCATAGTACACATCACCATGTATGTATCATAGTACACACCACCATGTATGTATCATAGTACCCATCACCATGTATGTATCATAGTACCCATCACCATGTATGTATCATAGCACCCATCACCACGTATGTATCATAGTGCACATCGTCATATATATCATAGTACCAATCTCCATGTAGGTATCATAGTACCCTTCACAATGTATGTTTCATAGTACACATCACCATATGTATCATAGTACCCATATCAATGTATCATAGTACCCACCTCCATGTAGGTATCATAGTACCCATCATCACGTATGTATCATAGTTCACATCACCATGTATGTATCATAGTTCACATCACCATGTATGTATCATAGTTCACATCACCATGTATGTATCATAGTTCACATCACCATGTATGTATCATAGTACCCATCACCATGTATGTATCATAGTACACATCACCATGTATGTATCATAGTACCCATCACCATGTATGTATCATAGTACACATCACCATGTATGTATCATAGTACCCATCACCATGTATGTATCATAGTACCCATCACCATGTATGTATCATAGTACCCATCACCATGTATGTATCATAGTACCCATCACCATGTATGTATCATAGTACACATCACCATGTATGTATCATAGTACCCATCACCATGTATGTATCATAGTACCCATCACCATGTATGTATCATAGTACCCATCACCACGTGTATCATAGTACCCATCACCATGTATGTTTCATATTACACATCACCATATATATCACAGTATCCATCTCCATGTATGTATCATAGTACCCATCACCGTGTGTATCATAATACACATCACCATATATGTATCATAGTACCCATCACCATGTATGTATCATAGTACACATAACCCTATGTATCATAGTACCCATCTACATGTATGTATCATAGTACCCATCACCATGTATGTATCATAGTACATATCTCCATGTATGTATCATAGTACCCATCACCACGTGTATCATAGTACACACCACCATGTATGTATCATAGTAGCGATCACCATGTATGTATCACAGTACACATCACCATATGTATGTATCACAGTACCCATCAACATGTATGTACCACAGTACACATCACCATATGTATCATAGTACCCATCTCCATGTATGTATCATAGTACCCATCCCTATATGTAGCATAGTACCCATCACCATGTATGTATCATAGTACCCATCACCATATGTATCATAGTACCCATCACCATGTATTTATCATAGTGCCCATCACCATATGTATTATAGTACCCATCACTATGTATTTATCATAGTACCCATCTCCCATCACTCATTGATTGAGTGAACTCATTACTCAGTATCATTATAATCTCAGTGAGCTAAACTCAGTAAATGAACTCAGTAAATTCAAATCAAATTTCACAACATAGTTTAGACTTTTACAGCACAGCTCATAACAACACCAACACAACAATCAAGGACTGATTGACTGACTGACTGAGTTTAGTTTTACGCCGCTTTTAGCAATATTCCAGCAATATCACGGCGGGGGACACCAGAAATGGGCTTAACACATTGTGCCCATGTGGGGAATCGAACCCGGGCCTTCGGCGTGACGAGCCAACGCTTTAACCACTAGGCTACCCCACCGCCCCACAATCAAGGAGATACTACTGCAACAACAAACTTCTACTTACGGGAATACCTCACCTGGAATATTGCTGAGTGCGGCGTTAAACAACAAACAAAACATAACCAAATTGGATCCTTGTCGACAGGTACTGTTTTTATTCTTCCTGATGTTGTTTCAGGTCAAACAGGATATAAATTTTCGCTGGCGTGCACAGTTACAAAGTGGCCTTCACGTCGTCAGCGGGTGGACCTTCTGACGTGTGTCTTTTAACCAGAGACCATATAACGATGAATAATTGAGACCTTTTTTATGATCAGATCGACGTCAAGTTCTGTAGTGAATTCTGTTCATCGTTGAAGTCATGACACGGGCAGCGACAATCACAGGGTGGCTTTTCACGATAGGACTTATTTCAGTCGGTAAGTTATCTATTATGACATAACAACGAGTTGCGTTTTCGCGACCATGACCTCTACTCTGTTTCACCAAGTATACGATTATGATGAAAGACGCATTACTCATACCAAATAACCTATTTTCGCTCTAGATAATACTCGAATTATTTGTTCATTTTTTTGTCATGTTCCCCATTTTTTCGTTGACAATGTTCACACGCAGGATTGTTATCAAGTCGATGACACACCCAGCTAGGTCGCCAGGTTATATAACCAGTCCGGCGAGTGACTGCAGTGGAGATACTTGTTAAAGCTTGACGCCTGTCTTACACGGAAGTATGTCGGCTGTACCTAATGACCTGCTGTAACTCACTGACAGCGTAGAAGGGCAAGAAGCTAGGTCATTTTCTTAGGTCATACAGAGAGGCCCAACCTGAGTGAGTCTAAGGTTCGTGGAGTGGAGTCCAGATATTTGGGCAATTACCTTAGCGTGAAACGTAAGGTTGAGTTGTTCGTAGGCAGTTGTATCAATAACAAAACGTGTCTAAAACAGATAGGACTAGTCTTCCTCCCGGCAGTATGTTGATGTATTTTTTGTTGTTCTCTTTAAATTTCCATACTTCTCCTCCTCTAATGAAGTTCCAACACCCCCACCACCACGCCCCACCACCTCTTTCCCTTGCTCCGCTTTTTGCAAGATATTGCCCATGAAAAAGCGCAATACAAAGTAACTAGTATTATCAGCACTAGCGGGAATGCACATAGCATGAACGCTGGGCTGTCGATATTAATATATTCATATTAATACAACATACGTAAGCTGTCAAATTATGCGTTGAAGAACTTAATCATTAACATTTTTGTGAAAATATCAGCTTATACTATTAGCCTGCGGGCATGGGGGTGTGGGTAGGTGTGGGGGTAGGGTAGGAGTTTTTACATCATCATAAGTGTTTTTTTTATATTTCTTTGGATTTTCTTGGTTTTTTGGTGTTTTTTAGGGGGTGGGGGTGTCTTAGGATTTATTGTATTCACAGAAAACTCCACCGCGTGTTTTTCATTATCATATGTGTTATTTGTTTGTTGGGTGTCTTGGAATTGATTTTATTCACATGAAATGTAACGACGGAGTGTATCACCTTTGTTGTTTGCTAGTTTCTTTATTGTATTCTTTGTTTGTGTTTTTTCGGGTTTTTTCTATGTACATAAAACAAGCTTAATACAAGTCCAAATAATCACGATCAAACGATTTTAAGCTTAACGTACCTGTGTTTTCCTGACATTTATTTTCAATCATGAATTGTAAAGGTATACAGATTTGAATGTTTGGTTATTACGAATGATTGCGTAAAATCAGTGCGAGCTTTTGTCAAACACAGTTTTTCATTTGTACATTTATACTGAGTTTTCTTGGCCCAGTTGTCCTGTTCTGTAACAGTTATGAATTATACCTACAATTTATAGCATATAAGTGATAGATATCGAGTGAGTGAAGAAATGCAACAATATCACAGCAGAGGAATGTCGGACAGGTAAATGGTCTGTTGACTGCATGAGCAACTAAACTGATGTACCAAAAAGGTACACACCTTGTGTTTGGGGAATATGAAAAACCTATGTATAAACTTTTGTCCTTACGCCCAAGGTGTGGGAATTTCAACATTACTTACTGGTGTTTTCCTATTATGGAAGCAAAACTGTGTCATCTAACCCAGTACAAGTAAATGGATAGGTTAAATCTCGTGGTGTGTGATCCTGTGCATAGAGCCCTAATCATAAATCAGTTGAAGTTAAGCAGCGTTGATCGTGGAGGGTCCTTTGATGGGTGGCCGTGTTTCGCAGCTATATATAGACTTATGATAGTTTCTAGGACTGCTGTCCTGCCCCACAACGAAGCACACGTGACACATATGGTCTCGCCCCAGGCAAGTGAATTTGTTCAAAACTGCCTCTGTTCATCCAATATTTAGTGAGTGCCTCACAGGCAGGTTGGGTTGTAACGAGTTAGCGCACTGAGCGCGCACAAGTGATTCGATACATACGCTTTATAAATAGCCATTATTATATTAACAGCCTAATTTGGGAGACTGTCAGATGTAAAGAGAGATGAGGTTCTGCTGTTACTTGAAGTACAAATCTAAATAGAATGTTCGTCCCTTTTCTTGGGTTTACACTTTTAAGTTTTCAATATAAAGGCAGGGCAACTGTCACGGGGTATGTTCAGGTGTTTATAACAGTTAAATTACAAACATTTTCTTTCCAGGTATTTCTCATGTGTATGGATTAACACTGACAACAAAAGATGAGACGGGGACTAAAGGACCCCACCCTGTGACTGTCAAGTGTGACTATGTCGTGGAAACAGGAGAAACACTTTTTCAATAACCATGAGTAGGAAGAGAGCTACAGAGCCAGGTTTCACAAACATTGCAACTTACAGACCATCTGCAAGCTCATCACTCTATGATTCAAGTGTTACACAGGAGTTTAGAGATCGGACAACTCTCATCTTATCTGGTGATATATACAGTGGTTCCACAAGTGTGCGATTTGATCGTGTTGACTGTGAGGATGAGGCAGCTTACAAGTGTATTGCTGCTTACCAAACAGTTGCTGGCGCGGCTGCTTCAGAAGAAGCTGAGATGAACCTTCTTTTGCTGGGTAAGTGAATTTTATCAACATCACCTTGAAACGTTAAGTAATTACTGTGGGTAAAATGATACACTGCTCCACTGGGTTCATCATGAGCTTTTATGCAACAGTGGTCGGGCTCGCTGACTTGGTTGACACATGTCATAGTATCCCAAATGCGTAGGACGATGCTCATAATTTTGATCACTGGATTGTCTGTTCCAGATTCGATTATTCAACTTATGACTCAAATTAAAAACACATATATGCAGTCACTGCATCCATTCCAAGGGTAATGTATTCAACCCTGTTGCGAATAATTACTGCACCCGTCCATTTCAGATGCCGTTTGTACTAAAACTCGTATATATATATATCGCATTTAACTAACTCTTGCCAATTATATACGATAATGGGATTCGTCAGTGATCTATACGTTTTGAACTGCGACACACTTTTGATAGTCAGGGCGAATATGTTTCTGACATCACTGTGCCCTGGGCGTAATAATGGGCACTACAAAAATACTGTAATATCGCGCAGCACCAACATCGTGAAAGATGACATGACATGTAGTGATTTGGGTTGATCCAGCGTTGAAAAGTTCGAACCGTGTATTTGGCAGTCGTTTTGACTTCTATACTGAAATACACGTGTTGGTATCCTTAAAAACAAAATGACATCCGAATAGGAGCGCAACAGACGCCCCATCTACCATTGGTCAGTATAACGGCAGGAACACGCTCATTCCATCTACGCTACACTCTGTTGTGCCTCTTAAGGAAGTCCAGAGTAAACCTGGATTCGTTTGAAAACATTAGAGTTGCCAACCACGATTGGATCAGCGCTACTGCTCTTGACACCAACGATGTCTTGCAGTAATGAAAACACGTGCACGTCGGGTGTGCAGGTTCCATCTATCGCCTGTTCACTCACTCTAATCCTTGTAGCTCTGTCAAGGACATCTCCAATTTGAAGGGACCTTTGACCACAGTTCTGTAACGTAAGATGAAAGAGTCTTGTGCGCCAATTGTCGTTCTTAGTCGACTAGATCGACCTCTGTCATCAACGTTTTACGTCAAGAGGTCGTTCCACAATGCACTGTGTTGTTCCGACATCCAACATGCTGATTGCACGTTCCTAACGTGACAGACTCCGCATGTGAAACGAGCTGACAAAGGCCGAAAACGTTTAATCAAGTTTAAAACAATAGCAGAACAACTTTCAATCTGGTTTGCATGAGTGAGATGTACAGCAACACACGGTACGATTATTTACAGACCGCCGCCATATAGATGAAATATTGCTGAGAACTGTGTTAAACAACAAACCAACCAACGTTAAGAAATCGATCGATGAATTCTGCACAACACACCAACACGTTTCACTGTGAATTTCCCTTTTTACCCCAACCTTGTTCTGTGCAGATCATTTAAAACGAAAGTGACATGTTTACACGAAATTCGTAACCCGTTTTGAATGGAATAATAATTTTTAAACCCATCAACCACACCAACTTGGTTCCAAAATTTTATCAACCCAAAATGGAAAATGTTTTACAATTTACCAGAACTTCGTGATCTTGGTATAAGTCGGAATACTTTGTGTTCCATTGCAGCTGAGCCGGGGAGACCAGCCATAACACCGTCTCCTGCAACTAGCACTGGCTACACGGAAGGACAGCAGGTTGAGTTCCGGTGCCAGGGAGCTGTTGGAAAACCTGCCGGAGACTTCCTGTGGTTCCGGTACCGTGGCAACACCTTTACGGACATTACCAGTCTGGCCAGACTAAATCCTCCCTATCCGAGTTCAGGAACTTGCACCTCTGAACGAATAAGTCAGCTCACTCTGAATGTCAGCAGACTGGACAATGGGATGATCATCCGATGTGCTGCAAACCACTCTACAATCACAAAGCCTACAGGATCCGGGACATGCAACTCTACATGTTATCAAACTGACACCATCACAGTTTTCTGTAAGTAAATATATGAAGAAGGGGAATATGACTGTCACTCAATATGTCCAAATGCCTAATTTCAAATGACCGCAATGAAGAATGTCTGTTAAGAAGTTGATAAAGTGTTTTTCTGATACCCTTTTCTCAAACCACCCAGCTGGCGTGCTTTTGATAAGACTTATGTTTCATAATGTTGATTTTGAAAAGATGAATACAAACGTTTTTGAGTACCTTGTGATCTGTCATGCTCGCATGTTACTAAGTTGATTCAGTCTTTGCTCCCAATTGTTTAGATCTATGAAAAAGTGTTGATCACGTAGATTGTCTGGCCCAGACAGTTGTTTTTGCAGCCAACACTATAACCCAGATTATTGCTAACAGAGGTGTGTAACCGCAAACAAACTAATGTGCTGAAAGCTCCATACATCGATATCGTATCAGTGTTGAGGCAGTTTATGCTTTCAGATACGTTCAGTGACAGTGACCCCGATGTCAGCTCCAACCCATCAGGGGCACACACACCGTTGGTGACACCGTCACCCTGAAGTGTAACGCTGTTACCAACCCACCAGCGACCTACACCTGGCAGAAAGAAGGAGAGGATAATTCCACATCACCTGGCGATGAATTGAGACTTTCTAATCTCAAATTGAAGATTCTGGAACATACACATGTTTGGCCACCAATGTTGTTGGGGTGTGGCGTACACTGCATCAAAGTCCCTCAACATCAATGTTGGTGAGTAAAGACTACTGGTTTTCTTATATATTTGATGATATCAGATCTGAAGCAAATACCCAAGGAACCATTCTGGAAAATCCAGATTATTCTGGACGAAGTGTTTTATCTGCGAACTAGACAGACAATTATGGGGTGGAGGAAGGCTGTGGAACGCTTCAGTATATGAAAGAAACCTTTTGAAAATTGTTGTTTCCACACCACTGTAGACGTCTGAACTTTATATCCAAGTACTCATCCTTAATACTGCTCTGTGTATGTAGCCTTGTGGTTAAAGCGTTTGCTCACGCCGTAACCCGTTCGAATCAGGGCACAATGTGTGAAGCCCATTTCTGGTGTCCCCGCCGTGATGTTGCTGGAATATTGCTAAAGCGGCGTAAACCAAACTCAGTCAGTCAGTAATACTGCTGTGTGTTGTTGTCAATAGAAATAGTCAGGATCAATTTGAGACTGCAGCTTTTGAGCCCTGATTTCAAAACGTGACATTTTTCATATTTTGTTTATTACTTGCTTACAAGTAAGTAAATCAGTTATTTATTTTCAACTGCACATGCGATTGTAGCAGCCGAGGCTTTAAAGTGCTATATAGCAAGATGAATAAGGTACTGATATGGCAGATATATCTGAAGTTGTTGTAGGAATGACTTGTATATCTTTGCACGAGCATGATCATCTAACTGTGACTGAACTAATGCATGTATTCCTCTCTCTCTGTCTCTCTCTCACCAACATCTGCAGTTGCTACAACCACATCCCTCCCACTACAAACCGCTACGAGTACAAAAAGACCTTCTCCTGGAACTACTGACGCTATTAAACCGGGACCTCCAGGTATGTTGACCTGTTAACTGTAGTCATGTGTCAGTCACATGTCTGTCATGTCTCTTCATGTCATGTCTGTCGTGATGAGCTGTGACAATATACTTCTGTCATGTGACATAATATGCATCATATGATGTGCTGTAATTACACCTCTGTCATGTGATGTGCTGTGACTATGCTGTTGTCAATCATGTGATGTGCTATGACTGTGACTCTATCGTGTGATGTGCTGTCACCTGTTTGTGGTCACAACTTAATTGTTAATTAGAAGAAGTTTTACATCTTTGCACGGGCTTGGTAATATTTTGGTTAGATTCTTTTTTATCTCGTTATGCTATATTCTGTATGCGTTGGACTCATTATCCAAACAAAAATGTTGGACCTCAGATTCAGCTTCATGATGCAATACATTGCTTGTGTTATTTACATGCTTACATGATTGTATTTTCAATTCTTACGACATCTTTCTCTCAATCATTCCATCCAATAGGAAAATAATCGAGACTGGTTATTCTCTGGCGTTGACATTTTCAAATTTTTTATTGATATAATTTATTTATCTGAGTGGTTTCTATAAATGATGTCACATAAACTAGTGCTCAAACGAAAGTATACAGTGTGTTTGACCAAATTTGAAAAGAAACGAAAGTTTCAAGCATTCAATACTACAGCAAATGTACACAATTTCATTTTATACAAAGTCGAAAGAACCGTTGGACTGACAGTGAAAGACACGTGGTATCATAGTCTGAACTTTTACACAAATCAACAAGGTGGGTTTTTCTGCAAAATGTCATCAAATGTTGAATCAATAGTGAGTGTGACGACCATTGGCTTCAATACACGCCAAAATACGTCGACGCATTGATGACGTAAGATGATGAATGACGTTAGGCGTGCCGTTGCCATTCATGTAGGACAAATTGTTCCAGTTGAGCGTAGACAGGTGGCGCTGGTAGTCTTCTCATTTGTTGACCAGGTATAAGTGCTCTATCGGATTCATGTCGGGAGAACACGCTGTCCACGGCAAAACAACCATGTTAGCGTTATGCAGGCTGTCAGTCATGCTGTATGAGCCTTGCGTTATCGTGTTGGTAGACAATACCACGTGGTTGTTGCTGGCTACTGGTAACACAACTGGTTGCAAAACGTCATTCCCGTATCTTCGAGAATAATCACAAGTCTCCTTTTGAGTCAGATGCACTCCGCCGTAGGGTCGACGTGCTCGAATAAATAGAGGATACTAAACAACCTTCCGTGTAATACCATTTGTATTAAACGAGTTAATGATTTGGTATCAAACGAGAGAAAGCGAGTTTGATACTAAATCTTTCACGAGTTTAATAAAAATGGTATTTCAAGCGAGTTTAATATTCTGTTTATTACTCTCAAACATAAATTGATAGAAACTGCTTACAGTGTGATGACTCTGAGCTTTCTGCGTGTCAAGCAAGGCCTAATACCACTGTGACAGAGGTATTAGAATTGTGACGTCATAACTGTAAAACATTATAACGTCATACGTCTAGCGGTATTACATTAGTGTAATATTGACGTAAAAATATTACACTACGGTATCTTCCACGAGAGAGTAATAACATGTTTTTTTAGTCGCCGGTACATCGTTTGTCGACTGATACGGTGTCTATTGCCGTCGCTGCCCTTGACGTCGCCATAACGATTTCTCAGATGAATTGTCTGGATGTGGCGATCATCACCGGGCGTTGTCACACGTGGTCGACCACGCCTAGGCCTGTCTGACGTATTGCCAGTCTGTCTTATGACTCTCCTTGCTGGCTCTCTCTCTTTTACGCCGCTTTTTGCTTTTGCTACATTTCAGGATTGTCAAGGCGGGGCACACCAGAAATTTGTCATTTGTTTGATATTAATTGACTCGAAAATATTAAGATCATAGTTATTTCTTTCAGACAATACCGTAGTGATAGTTGTGAGTGTCGTCTTTGGCGTGATGGTTATCGCTGGGACTGTGATTGGTGTGGTCATATACAAAAAAAAAGATGGAGCAGGAAGACTCCCGAAGGTTCAGTGCAAAAAAATGTTTCATCATTTCATTTCTCAGAGTATACAATACATTCCGCACATGAAGTGAAATCAAGATGGTTTAAAGATACACTTTCAGCACATTTTGAGCATTTTCAAGGAGAATGCTTACACTTTACCTTTAACTGAGAGTATTTATTAGGCCATGTGTGTGATAACGAAAAGTTTTATGATAATGGAGGTGTATGGCCGTGTGTAAAGAGCTCAAGTCCCAAATCAGTTAAGCAACGTTGGTCACGGAGACTCCTTGGATGGGTGACTGTGTTTGGCAGATTGACTTCTGAGACTTTCTAGGGCTTCTGTCCTGTCCCACAACGAAGCACACGTAACACACGTCTCTCCCTAGTCATGTAAATGTGTTCATAAATTGCCTCTGTTCAACCAGCTATAAAATGTACTTCATTCGAAATAAATAACTAATGCATATTATACAGCTTTTGTTCAGTAGTTATTTATCAAATACAGTACTAGTATGTCAGTATGAACCGTTATTTTGCAGAAGTGCTTGATGAAAGGCCCTATACAACATTGCAACATGGAGCGAGTGTCCTACATGAATATGGAGTCATCAGGAACGACAACACACAGTGGATGTGTACGTCTCAGTCAACAGGTACGTATTTTCTGCAGCATTTCCTATAGCATTCCCAGAAATTAGTGACAAAATTGTTTACAAAAATATGTGATACATGTGTATAAACTATAGAAGGTCTACTGAAATGAATGTGTTGAGATATGATTCTCTTACAGTGTAAGTGTCTTTTCAGTACTTTTGTGAGATCTCCTTGCCATGCAATACGCGACTGAATGTGCCTAGGTACACTACCGATAAAAGTTTGACAATCGTGTGACATCCCAATATTCGACCCTTCTTTCTTTCATATCCTTAATAATATTTCTAAGTCCTTTTGGTTTATTCTGTCCTTCGTCATTCCCGACATCTCAATAAGGTTAAGATCTTGGTTGTAGCTGGGCCAATCTTAAACTCGAACATCTTCGTCAGACAACCACTGTTTTGTGTAGCCTGCAGTGTGTCTTGGGCCGTTATCGTGCTGGAAAATCCAATTATATTCATTCATTCTTCGGGCTGTTGAAAGGAGGTGACCATTTAAGATGTCAACATATCGTTCCTTCGTCAAATTTCCAGTGAAAATACACAACGGCGTCACTTCACGTGATGATATCCCACCCACATGTGAAATTTCGGGCTATATTTTCGGCGGTGGTAGATTGGTTTCACAGTATCTTTTGTTTAAATTTTTCACACAGTTCGGAAAAAGCCAGGCAGAACTTTCATCAGAAAGGAAAACATTGTCCCTATCTTTATTTTTTGTGAGCCTTCCGTTTAAAGGCCTTCCTTTTGTGCGTCTTTCATCAATGGTGAGGGATTCCGTGCTTTTTCACACAGTTAAGTCTTTGTAATTCTTGTCTAAGGGTTTCATTACATGCCTCTATTGATGATACCATTTCTAATATACTCAACGTTTTTTTTCAATTTTCCCCTACTCCCAATCTGACCAAATCGCCGGCGACCCGTACAACTGAACTTCCTTGGCCTCGCTGCCCCTGTCTTGTGCTCAATCCCAACTCCTGACTCAATATTCTTTAAAGTTCTGTATGCTGTAGACAGAGGACTTTTATGTCTACCAGCTACCTCTTTTGCATATACCCCTTTCAAAATCATCTGGACCCAGCCTTCCTTTCTCTTCTGTTGTCAAATCTGCCTTGTCAACAAAGGAAGCCGCCTGCTACACCAGGGGAGATAACTCTTGATGTGGTAAGGTTCATTCTTAAGCCTACTAGAGCTGCCTCCCATATTCAGTACCTTACTTCATAATGTAACACCTATTTTATAATTACAATTCTCTTATCAGAATTAGGACACAATATTTTCTCAAAATGTCTGGGAAAACTGTAATTACACTGTCAAAGTGTGTTTGTTTGTTTGTTTGTTTGTTGCACTTAGTTATATTCCAGCAATGTTGCGGCGGTCTGTAAATAATAAAGTCCGGACCAGACAATGCAGTGATCAACAGCATGAACATCGATCTGAG